AATACACCAAACTTCTGACCTAGTATACTCTCGCTTCGTAAGACCAAATCCGCGATCAACTGAATTTCTAGTATGACCCTTGATTTGAAAACGATATTCAATTTCTTGAAATATCTGAGTATGACATGCCCAAAGGAAATACCAAAGAAGACAAGTATTTTTATTCTGGCCACCACAATTATCCGCCCATAATCGAATTTTTTTTGCATCACCTGCTGTAGAGGTAAGAAATAGATGGATAATTGAGGCGACTTCATTTGCACCTTTTAGTGCTTTGCCTTCCGTGTAGATAACGTGCCAGTGACTGTCGATGCCTTCATCTACTAACCCGAACTGGTGTGCTTTTAACAATGATAAATAGTACCATTTTCCAGGTTGTTGAGGATCATGAGGCAATTCTAAGTTTTGGGCAAAATCGAAAGAAAAAATGCGAAATGAAGATCTGTCACACGTTTTCGCCACATGTATGTCATTTTCATAAGCATCTCTCATTTCTCGATAATCAGTTATGTGTGCCATTAATTGTGCGTCAAGATCTTCATTTATATCACTAACATTTTCTTTCAATGCCCGTTTGAATACTGTACACTCGTCACACTTGTCCTTGGATGGTTTCCTAATTACAATTTTGGTAAGTTCAGAATCTGCTCTCCATAATTGTCGAAAAGTCCACCGACTTTTAATTAATGTTTCAGGATTCATCAAATTGTAGGCAGCAAGAAGACGGTCGTAAGAGTAATGAGAGGGAAGAAGAATCATGTCATGCTTTTCGTAGCTTACTGTCACCTGTCCATCAGCCTTTTTTCGTGCATATTTTCGAACTGCTACTGCCTCACCATGTTGTTCTCCCGTCCGTCTAATAAAAGATTTTGCCTTATTAACTGTCTCTGCAGGTAATCTAATTTTAGGTGAACGGCCAATATTGCCATGAAGCCGGGGCAACATTGATCTGCATTCTGTAAGCCATCCATGAAGACGATATAGCGCATCTTTACCGCATATCCAAAATGTATGAAAGAAGGGACGGCAAACCTTGCCAAAATATGGAAGTTGATAATCAATATATGCCCGTTTTCCATGTGTTTCATGGTAAACAGAAGCCATAAGAATCATTATTGAATAGCGTCGTTGATTCTTGTCCATCCGAAGGCTTTCTAATGACAAGGACTGCAGCAAACGCGGTGAGACTTTTTCGCTACAATTTTTTTCACACAAACAACATGTTTTAAGCTTGTTTACTAAGTTATTCACAGCGACCTGATCCTTTTCATTGAGTTGACTAATTTCTTCAGATTCGTTCCCTGTTGAATCATCATCTTTTAATTCCGACTCTGATTCTTCCGATTGAAAGTCTTCTTCATATGTACTTTCATTTGAGTCGTTCGAGTCTGACTCTAAAGTAGCGAAATCGAGAGTGTCAAAAAAATGCTCTACGTTTTGAGAAACAGTACTGGAGGATTCCATTTGTGATTAATATGTTGCGATTCGAATAAAACGGCGATTAGTACTTTATAATATTTATTGTCGCGCTGAAGCTGGAAATGTCTGAAGCTGAAATTAGAGACCTCGATTTAAAAATATAAACCCTACCAAAATCCACCTATGCTCTTTTGTTATCAAAACTAACCCTAAATCCCACCCCAAAAAATTTTGAAAATTTCATATTAAAATATTTAAAATTTCCAGCTTCAACCATTTCCAGCTTCAGCCACGACATTTATTATTATGAATTAAGAATTTTCTTTGGGTAGGCGTAAATTAGGTTTTAGAATTAAGCTGATTTATTAGCATAGACGCATTTCTATGTGAAGTATCTGGTCTTTTATAATAATGAGTACATACGCGGAATGCATTAAAAACAAACAAAAATCGCTTAATCACAATGAATTAAAATTTAAGAAACAAATGTTTCTTTTTACTTTATTAATTATTAAGTAAATTACATGACAATTCGATCTTAAACAAATAAATATTTTAATTTTCGCGCATATTTAACTCTTAATTTTTAAATTCAACACAAAAAAAAAAAAAAAAGTCGAAACATAACGCTATTAATTAATTGAATAAATTACGTAAAGTACCGTTTTAATTTACTAACAAACGGGAATTTAATATATTCGTGCATATTTGACCCTTAATGCAAAAAAAAAGACTGTGAATAAAGTTCATTTCTGGTATTCGATCTGATTGGTTTGATACATTGGTAATCGAAACGACTAGAATAGTCGATTATAACGTTCTTTAATCACATGTTATCATCATTGAATCAATTAAAAACCCCGCAACTTCGCTGTGGGTAGAAATCTATTTTTAGAATTCCTGGTTTTCTCTTGGCGGCACCCATATACACCAGGTTCAATAGGTGATAATGAACCTTACTTTATTGGCATTAATAAAAACATAACCAATAACACAAATGTAGATTAGATAAAATTTTATACCCGTCGATCACTCGGATAATCCGCGAGTTACCCGATGGTAATCCAGGTAACATTTTCTTTATTGTATGCGTACGTACGGTGTAACTACCGAGTGGATATAAATGGCTAGCTTGTGTCACAACCAGTTCAATAGCAATAGTTAATTAATTAACAAAAAATATGAATTAAAAATTTTTATTTGCATATTATTTCTTTTGTTCGTTGTTATATCTATTTTTGAGTTATGTTGGGTTTAATAAATTAGCCAAAATAGGAATCGATTGTGGCTTGATGGCTTAATCATATGCATATTACTCAAGTCGCATAAACGCGACAATTTTCATGTGATAGAATAGCGTCTAATAATTTGTGATAACGTATGAAAACGTTGTAATTCTTGGGCTGGAGCGGAGGGAGCGGAAGGAGCGGAGTGGAAGACCTTTCCTTACTCTACTAATTTGAGACGATGTCCCCTGATGTTGATGTATTTAGACTATTGCCATCCCCCGTATAAATTTTAATTAAAAGTCAAATCATTAACATTAACAAATGTTAATCAGAAATCCAATCATTAAAAGACCTTTAAAAAAATAATAGCTGATTAATTACTTATTATATTAAAGCGTAAAAACGTAAAAGAATTTATACGCCTAAACAAACGGGTGTAAAAATGATACTAAAAGAAGATTAGCTTTTATGACACCTACAAGAACGGGTTATCAAATAATGAACCAACAAAAGGACAAGATCGTCGAAAACGTCAAAATTATATTGTTAAAAAAATAAGCCCAAGTAATGAACACAATATTATTTTATACATTTACCAAATTACAAATTATAATCATTTATTTTAACAAAATTTTCAACTAAAATAGCTTACCACTACTATTTACATGCCAGCTTTTTGATGACGATTGTAATCTTCTAAAGAAATTTCATAATGCAGTTTCTGCAATCAAATTTAATTCCTCTTTGTAATAAGAGTTTTCTTACTATTGTATTAGTATAAGATGGATTTCGGTATGCAAAAAAAAAATTCTTGCTGAACTTCCTTAACTCGATCATGTTAATGAAATGTTTATTGCAAAAATTTTTCCTATGTTAACTGTTTAATTATTAAAAACTGGAGCATATATTTGTTCACGTGCATATTAATTACTTACATTTAACAATAAACCAGTTACATCCTGTGTAGTTGGATATGTACAAGAAAAAATTTATTGGTGGTATAACTGATGCGTCGGCAGTGTAAGCGGCCGATACAGTAGTTATACTTTATCAGTAAATTTCGCTTATACTTAACTGCCCAGAATATAACTATTACACATACCAACAAAGTAAATTTTACTATGTATTAGAGATGGTAAAAAAAAAACAGCTTAACCAAGTGGTGATTAAAGTTCGAATATTGATTTAAATAATGCACGCCTGTTTTTTTAATTTATCTTCACCTGTTTTTAATTACGTAATAAAAAACATTTGCCATCCCTAGTAATGTGCATCATGCCATGGGAATATTTCGGGGCTTTCGGAACATTTCGGAATCACATAATTCTGGTCTGCATTAGCAGCAAGCTACCATAATGCGGGTCAGAATTCTATAATGTGTTCCGCAAAAAAGTTTCGAACGGATCCGCTATTTTCAATGGGCATGAAAGTATTTTACAAAGTGTACTTGAACTAAAACTGTACATATAATTAATATGGAAAATACACTGGCTTCACTTGTCTCTCAGCCAATTGCAGGCTTTCAAACTCACTGCATAAACCGAATCAGGATCCGGATTCGAATTGATGCCTGCTACTGGTGATAGACGCATGAGAGAAACAAATGGAGCTTGTTGCTTGTAGTGTGTTTTCCATAATAATTATATGTATAATTTCAGTTTTGGTACTATTTGTGAAATGTTACATTCACATCCATTAAAAATAGCGGATCCGGCGGATCTTTTTTGCGGAACACTAATGCGGGCCAAATTCCGTGCGCATGAAATTTGAAAAAACGCTAATTTGCATATCACTAACCATCCCTACTATATGGGATCTTTGCTAGGAAAATCACCCTTCGACATTTTCCGATCGGCAAATTCGGGAAAATTTAAACCAATATTACCGGTATTTACTTGCATGTAAATCATTTCTGTCTTTATTAATTTAAGCGTTCACGTTCATTCGATAAATTATTGAATTAATGGCAAAAAATGATGCACGTTGGTTTAAAATGTTCCGGATTAGCCCGATCGGAAAATGTCGGAGGGTGATTTTCCTAGCAAAGATCCCATATATAAATATTTAATGAAATTATTTTTTTTTACTGAAGTTTTTATTTGATTTTATTGGTCAAAAAATTGATGCACGTGATGTTACACGAAATCGATGTTTGCAAATCATTCCTCATAGAGAATATAAGTTAATTTTCATTTTCAAGTTTAAGTAGGTACGTACGTACGTACGTACCTCAAAAGTAAAGCTCCAGCTAGTACTCCGCAAAATCAAATCAAAATTTGAATTTGAATCAAATATTTGAAATTATTTAAAAATTTGATCAAATAATTTTCAAACATTTGATTCAAATTCAAAATTTGATTTGATTTTGCAGAGTACTAGCTACAACTCTGTGAAACGCCGCCATTTTATTACTAGTTAAACTGTGAGGAGTTAAATTACAAAGATTTATCATTTTCGTATAGTAAATTACTATTAAATTAGGCTAGTCGTGCAACATGTGATGCTGCGCAGGACCAGTACGATCATATGCGACGCAAGTTAGTTCCAGTCATAACTTTAAATAAGCTTATTCATTTTGATTATTAACAATAGTTAAAAATTAATATGTTCATTGTATTACTCTACTACTTTATTATTTTACCAAAAGTTCTTAAAATGCGTACCATTTTTTAAACAGTCAACTATAGCTTTTTGTATGTTTCGGCCACCATAAGAACTGATTTTTAAGAGAATTTGGACTACTATGTTGGCTTTTTATACCTTGTAAATAAATATCACTAAGCAATTGTCTTTTTATACTTTTTTATATATAAATTTATCTTTTCTTTTGTGCAGAAACTCAAGATTGTTCACTTGATCCTCAAAGTGAATCTTAATCATCGAAGAATTATGCTTAGGAATAAAAATTTAACCGCGATATACGATTAATGTGTAATACACAATTCTTCAGAGGATAAATATTTGTCCCTTTTCCCTTTGTGTGCTCACTTGTGAAATTATGGCATTATAAAATTTTTTTCTATCCCTTTTGTGTGCTCATTGCGAAATTATGACATCATAAATAAATTTTTTTTCTCGATAGGATTAGTGTGAAGTGACAAATCATACTAAATAAAGTATAGTACAAATTTCAGTTATGAAGATCAATTTACAACTTTAATATGCAGAGGTTGAATTACTATTTATTTTATGTACTTTGTTATTTCTCTATAGCTTCTATTATAGAACCAACCAAAGAATCAAAAATTTACAGCGACATAAGCAACAACATTAAAATGCGTGTCTTCTGAAGCCACACACAAACAAAACTCACACGATAGTTAAACTCTACCATAAGGTCTAAAGCCTGGCATCTTACGAAATTACCCGATATGCGTCCCGAATTTTCCGGACAAACCGACGAAGACACAAAAAACGAAAATATAAATAATGGTATCCAAACCGATCTTGATACACTATGTAAAAGTGTCGGAAATGCGATTTTACTATATATACTAACCTCCTTGCCTATGTCTAACTCTAACCCTAATATTAATTAAAAATCGGAAAACTGGAAGGTGCTAGGTTTTAGACGTCCCCATAAACGGAAAAAAGTGCTGACAATTAATACCTTCTAAAATAGAAAAAAATTATAGCTAACCAAAAAGTTAAACGGAACCATCCCTTACATATTTCATGATCGTACTGATAAAATTATATTCGTTTGTTTAACAGCAAAATCATAAAAAAATTGCCCTAATTGTTTTAACTATGGGATTATATCAGTTTTTGTTAAAATTAGTCAATCAAACACACCAACGTGACTATTTTACCTTA